TGTGGGCTAGCAAATTTGGGATAAACAGCAAGAATGTCCTCAAGCACACCTGATTCAATGAAGTAATTACATAGTTCAAGATACAATAAGTCAGGTGGCCTGAAGTCTTTGACAGTGTCACATTCAATAATATAGTGTTCAAGTGTATGCTTTAAAGGTTTATCACAAAGTTTACATGCTGAGTGTTCCGGTATGGGTACAGCGTTACTAACTTGCCAGATGTGTCTGTATCCTAACCTAATTCTGGCCACGACTACATCACATTGTCTGGTTCTGTCCTTATGCTGGCCATACCGGTACCTCTTGTTACAAAATTTGTCATATTTACTAATGCTACAACTGTCAGGTCTCTCTGCATTTCTCACTTCTTCTAGATCAGAGTTCATGATTCTGACTTGAATGTTTTTAATTACAGCATTGGACAGACCAAGGTCACGGTCAACATTTTCTTTCTTACATGCCTCTGGTCCCAAGGATTTCGGATAAGGGATTGTCAACCTGAATATACAGTCGGCCTTAACATACGCGGGGGTTAGGTAACAGATACCCGTGAATGTTAAAAATCCATGTACTTTTGCTGCCCCCCCCCCAAAACACCCCTGGGTCCCCATGTCCTTATTTACGGTATATACCTGTGTGTAGTTCGAGTTTTTAAGACCAAATTATTTGGCAAAAAATTGGGGGTCGACCACTAAACGGGTAATAGTTTCGTTAGGTTGAAAAATATTTACCAATAACTACCAGTAAACAATGGAAACGATGCACCAACGCACCACCAGCTGTGAGTGTCGGTACAGTTGCCAGGGCAGATCTCTTGCGTCATCGTAGTAGCCAAATGCATGGTATGGTATGCACAGGACGATGTAAAACATAAAGTTTTCATTTTTTAAAGTTTATTCTTAGATACTGTACATAAATTTTTGTTCATTACATTTGAAACTTCAATCTTTGTCAATTAAATTTGAAACAAAAGAAAACTACGATTCCGTATTTCTAAATACCGGGTATTTTCATTAAAATATTACATCACAAGTATATTTTACCTTAACTGTGACTGAATGAATATGTTCTCAGAAATAAATATGGAAATGTAATATTTTTGCTGAAATGACGTACGTATTACAGTGGAAAGTGGGATAAAATCATGACGAAAACAATGACTTTCGCTTTCTTTCGTTGTTCAAAAGATTTTACCGTGGAACAAACCTGTACTGTACATGTACTAAATGATTATGGTACTTAAATTGTTATGTCTATTGCAAATATAGATTATTTATACAGGTATTCAAATAAATCACTATCTTACAAGAATCCCAGCAATGTAAGTTATATTCACCCAGGTCGTTTGGTTGGCAAATTATGAGAAGAGCTTAGTCACTCTTAAGTAATGAAAAATAAACACGTAGGCCTTCAGCGCCAACTGTCACATCTTATCTCAAATAAATAAACAAACACCAGACACTGTCACCTCACCTCCCCCTGTTCCCCCCATGCTCGCTGGCTACCTCCCTCCTTGTGTTCCCAGACAAAAGATTGGTGATAACTTTATTCTTTAAGGTGTTTTTGTATATAATATCTCAGACTAAAGTTAGGAGATTATATTTTACATTCACTGGCATTTTAAAATGGGAGAAGCGTAGTAGGACTGTTAAATAAACACACAGAGACCTTCAGCTCAAACTGTCAAACATATCACCTCAACCCCTTCCCCACCCCTCGCTGGCTGTGGCTCATCCCTTCCTCCCTCCCCCTCCCTCCCCCATCTGCTCAGCCGGGGGTTTATTTAGGCTTACAGTTTTTATCTTATATAATATCTCAGACTAAAGTTAGGAGATTATAATTTGCATTGCTGGAATCCTTGCAAGACAGCCAATAATTTGAATATAAACGTCATATATTTTGCTCAAGAGATAAAAATTGTTGTACATTAGTGTGCAGTACTGGTTTTCAGTTAAAAAACTGTTGTATTACAATAATATTCCCTCCAAATTAACTTGAATAAATACTTGAGTGGAAATATACAATATTTTTGTTGAAACTACCCTCGTTTCATTGTAAAGTGTCGTAATAATAAATGGTAAACAATTTGCCTTCGGCACTCTGTGTTTCAGGCACGGCGAGCCTCAGTTTATAGGACGTAGAGTGATTTTACTAAAGGTTTTGTTGTTCCAATACCCTCAAAAACTTGGGTCGACCTATAAACAAGGAATATCATAAATTAACGATTTTTTGGTAAAAAAATCAGGGTCGGCCTACAATGCTGATGTCAACACAAGCGTGGTTACAGCGAGACTGACTGAGTGAGGGAGTGCAGGGGTGGCGTGACGGGTGTGTGTGTGTGTGTGTGTGGGGTGGCGGGCGGTGTGCGGTGCCGCGCGCGATTTGAATGTACTTCAATTACTTCAATGTACTTCAATTCCTCCGGCGGCAATCCGCGTATTTGCGAATCCGTGTATGCTAAACCTGCGTATGTGAAGGGCCGACTGTGTATATATATATATATATATATATATATATATATATATATATATATATATATATATATATATATATATATATATATATATATATATATATATATATATATATATATATATATATCACGGGAAAGGGGCTCCGTTGTTTCCCTTTATTTATCAAGACTATCTGATCACATTTTTCATTGTGGATCTACATGAAAATACATATATATATATATATATATATATATATATATATATATATATATATATATATATATATATATATATATATATATATATATATATATATATATATATATATATATATATATATATATATATATATATATATATATATATATATATATATATATATATATATATATATATATATATATATATATATATATATATATATATATATATATATATACACATATACATATACAGTATTTACGAGATTATGCTCCAGGGCAACTAATGGATAGTTGGATTAGTGAATAATTTACCAGTGTCTCATGGAAATAAAATTGTTAATGGTCCTGGCTGGCTAGTTAGGGGAAAATTTCATAATTAAAACCCTAATGCACATTTGTAAATTAAATAGATTGATAGTACAACCTCTGAGGTTAAGGTGTGAGTAGGGGATTAGAAACTGAGTATGAAGAAGAGCCAGTGTTGTGGCCAGACAATGACACTGGCCTCTCAGCACTGGTGAAGGAGTATGGTAGTTGTCAGGCTGGGTGGATATTGCTGACAGACTGCCAGAGAGTGAGGGTATGCTGTATTTGTGAGGAGAGAGGTGTAACATGTGAGGAGAGAGGAAGATGTAGAAACAATTCAAGGTAAGACCTTTGTAGCTTTCTTGAGAAATGAAGAAGTGTGAGAAGTTGAAGATGATGGTTTTGATTTTTCAGAACTTCTGAAATGATGGATGCCTGCTGTTGTGACATCCTAACCATATGTTCATGAAATTTAGTGTAGATCTTTAGGTCCCTTTCAAGGAAAGAAGTGACTTCTCTAGGTACAGGTATAAAGCATATTAACTCAGTCGTTTTTCTTATGAATATGGCCACCATCTTGTGACTGAACCGCTTCTCAGACACAGGAATGTTACACTTGGGAAAAATATATCTTGTCTCATTCTCCATAAGTTTAGGAGCTTGTCAGTAGTCACCTCCTTGTGATGTGTTTCAAGGAGACTATTGATAGTTGAGATCCTAGTCATATTTTGAACCCAGTATTGCCTGTGACTTGCTCCAGTTTGATGTCCCTCAATTCTGCATCTTTGTCAAGTTAGCCCATGAAGGGGAGGTGTCAAGGGGCGGTGGTGATACACCACTTAAGCTATGGTCACACTAGAGTTTTCCGTGCAATAAATCCACAGTAGCATTTCATCCACAGGTAATAAGTCAACGGTACAATCTGCACACTGGTCACACTGGTGAAAGGAACCGTTGGCCAAGCACCCAGCTCGCACGGCTAGTTTGAGCTCAGTTGGAGAGCAGGATGGCTTCATTGTATGTTTCTATGGCAGCATTAACCACTTTAGTGAGATGTGTGGTCCTGTTAAAGACCACAACAAAAAAGAAATGATTGTAGCATCCAGGCGATGTTTGTTTACAAAAGTGACTCGAGTACTCATGAGTCATATGAAATTCCCATCGTGATGTTTTCTTATTATTATTTTGTATTTACTATGACATTTTTGCTTGTGTTTTGTTACTGAAATACACTTTTTATATTTTTGGTACATTTTGATATTAATAAGAATGGTGTAAATTTTATGGATACAATAGACTCTCTTTAACAAATGTCAACTCACCGTACCGTGGATTTTCAGACACTCCGTATTGTCCCATTTTCGACAACAGATAAGTTGTTGTAGTAGAGACAACTTGAGGAGTTCATTGATTTATTCTGGGTAAAAACTCTGGTATGACCGCAGCTTTAGTGAGGCATTGTCTTTTATTTGACTTACTGCAAATGATGGAGAATATAAATACAGTACTGTATTTAAATAATGATCCTAACTTTATTACTGTGGATAATCAATACATGAATGTTATGCATATAAATAATTAGGAGTCTTCTGTGTAATGATAAACAAAATGCCCTCAGAGAATTCATTACCAGCATTGTTTTACCATAATTATCAGTGTAGGAATGATGATAAAAATGTGGTTTTATTATTATTATTAATTTTTTTTTATTTAATTATAGTTTAGTTATGAATTACTGTATCCTGTATAATCCTGACCAACATAAATGATGTACAGTATTATTATTTTTTTATTTTGCTAGATTTTTTAGACTTAGTATTACTTATTTTCAATGCTTGGTTTTGTTTATGCATGTGTGTTGCACTGATTTACAACTGTGGGTGTTGACAAGTGTGTGATGGAAATCCCGCACCTGTGTGAGCAACAGTGTAGTAAGGTAGCCTGGCTTGCATCAGCATGGTGGCTGTGCTGGTGAGTCTGCCATTAATCTTGTGTTATGCTTCACCCCACTTAACACTACCTGCATGTGTTGCAGAAGCCGTGCCCGCTCCCGTGCTGCTTCCACTGACCGGGACTCCCCCCAGAAGCCTACTCCCCCAACCCAGGCTCCTAAAGGGGGGAGAGAACTCCCTCCTGCCAACCCCCCTCAGACCCGCCCCCCAACCAGGTACCCAGGGGCTGCACCTCACCTTCCACCCTGACCTTCTTCCCTTATATCCCCTTCATATAATTCATATCTCTGTAACAATCAACCACATATACATCTTAGGTTTCATTTTTTATGGGTAGTGATGCTTAGGCTCAGTGTAGCCTGTTTCATTAATCTGATGTCCCCAAATGTGCTTGGTACTTCCTTTGTAAATCAGGTATATAAATATATACCGATATTCAGTGCATTTACTTCCCTACCATTGAAATAATGGCTTAAAGCCATAATTTTTCCCAAAATGTTACTTATTGAATTAAAGAGGGATGTTTTCAGAGACTCTCTTTAATGCACAGTGTTCAAAATTGCAAGCATGCAAGCATTTGTTTTTCTGATATCATTTTTATTTTTTTCATTTATTTTTTATTTGTAATTTCACTGCAGTATTGTTTTATTTTAATTATAAAAAGGTGATATAAATGATCATTATCCCTGACTATATTTCCAGTGCTTATTAAGATCCTTTGGTATCATTTTATGTACGGTTGTTTTAAAGATCTACACATCACGTTACTTTGAGATGTCTGTTGACTTTACTGTTACTAGGAACCTGAAGGTTCAGTATTCCTACTTATGAATAGAAATATTTCAGATTATTGAAAGAGATAATAAACTGTCTCTTTATTATTGACCTCATTGTGCATAGATTGAGGCATGTACAGTCACTCCAAAAATTATCTATGTACAAAATTGTGTTCAGAAAATATGACACAAAAGACAAAGGGTTTTAATAACCCTATTGAGGTAACAGGAGTTGCAATGTTCATTCTGAAATTCATGGACCCCCCCAAGTACAGATAGTTTTTTTGAGTGAGTGTACAATATGTTCTAGACTAATCTGAAAACCTGTTCACATAATATTGTTGTGCTCTGCTCTTTGCCCAAGCTAGGTATCTCTTAGTGAAACCTTTATTTAATTTTAGTGCCTTGGTCATTTTATTTAAACTGTCAGTTCATACACTCATGACATTCCTTTCATTTATAATCCAGATCTATTTATTTTTATTGCTGAATACATTTATGCTGTTGCTTGTGATTCTTACTTACACTATTTTGAACTCTGTGTACAGTACATGTTACGACATATCGGAAGTTTACTTGAACTATCTTCCGCGTTTGCTTTCTCTCAAATATGTGGATGATACAGATTCTTTTTTCTTTTTTGTAATTTATAACAATTTAAAGTAATTGTTAAAATCACATTGTTTGAAACAATATAAAGAGTTCCCCTTATAGGGACATCAGATGCAGAGAGAGTAATTTTTTTAAATTTCTTTCCTTTTGTGAGTCAGAAAATGTAGTTAAAATATTTTTAGGTAGCCTTATTTCGAGGTTTAGGTTTATAACACAGTTTTAAAAAGTCTAAGGTGTCTGTTAGATTTAACACGTGGTTAGTCATTGTGGTGAATTTATCACTTTGTCATTCATGGCCCTGAATGCTTAACTCTTTGTAGTATGTGGCTCAATATTCATCAATTGCTCTTTTTGCTTATCTACCATATTTGCTGTATCCTACAGGGATTATCACTATCAAACAGGGAGGTACTACCACCTGGGAAGATATTGGAAGCATAATGTGTTGTCTAATGGTAGACCCTGCTGCCATATGGCATCACGAAATTGTGACCAAGTCCCAGGTTGCTGATCTGTTTTTCTGCCTCATTTACACACAATTGCAGGGTCTCAATTGTTTCTCTTACTATTGACAACACATCATACATACTGTATATCATTCTCATTATTGATATTTGTATTTATTAATGTCTCTTTATTAATACAGGGGGTATTATTATTATTTTATTTTATTATAATTGTTATTTGTTTTTAAATGTTATTATTAATTTTATTATTATTATTTTCTTTTATTATAATTGTTATTTATTTTATATATTTTTTTAATTTTATTACTATTATTATTATTATCATCATCATCATCATCATCATCATCATCATCATCATCATCATCATCATCATCATCATAATTATTATTATTGTTTTATTGTATTTGCGCCCCCCAGGCCTTGATGTGGGTCATTGAAAATTACCCGTGCCCAGGTGGGCTAATGCCCGTAAAAAAAAAAAAACACTTTGTATTTGGCATTCTTATTTTTCTATGCATATGCATATAGCGCCTCACATCCCACCCACCTTTTTGTTTTATTCTTTGTAATTTGATATCACTTTGAAATATTGAAATACGGTAATGTCCCCATTAGTTGGAATAATTGGTGCAGGGCGGTTTCGGGTTTGAGAGATTTCTAGAATTTTTTCGGGTGCTGTTGAAACAGGAGTGAAAGAAACACGACTAATACATAGAACTATGTTTCTGACATTTCGTCACAATACACTACTTTTTCAAAGGAATGAACACACGATTTGGAGTACGTACTGTTATTTACACACTAAAGTTGAGTCCGCTGAAGTTGGCAGAGCTATGTCATGTACCTCCATTGGTCAGTTGGTCACCTTCAAGAGGGAAGAATATATCCAGCACAGTGGACTCACAGTGCGGTCCCCCTTGAGTTCAGTGATGGCCTGCCTGTTCATGGAGACTCTAGAGACAGAGTACTACAAGAACATCATGGATACGAGGTTGACATGGTTGAGGTCATCGTCGCACCTGGGAGGATGGACTTGGAGGACAAAAAAAAATTTAACGAGATTCACCCTAAGATCCAGTTTACCATGGTGGAAGAGGTAGATAAGCCAGCTACCCTTCCTAGACACAGTCATCTAAGAACTAATGAAGAGCCTAAATTCAAGGTAGCATACCACAAACCCACCTATTAAGATGACTTTATCCACTACAGTACCTGTCTCCCCACAGTCAGAAAACAAAGACTGGCTTCCTGTGGGCTCACAGAATATGCGGCGCTGAATACCTGGAGGACGAGTTGGCATACATCTTTAAAACCTTTACAAATCTGGGATACCCAAGAGGATTACTGATACAACTGCAGTACAGAAAAAGATCAGACGCATCATTAATATAGGACCTAACACGACACAAGAAGGAAGTAACCCAAAGGACTGTACAGATACACAGTGATAGCAAATTCCACCTATGCTACTGACATTACAGACTACCTTCAACATTCCACCTTTGAGACAGCTATCATGTCAGGTACCAAGATCGGAGATATAGTCAGAAATAGACGGAAAGACTAGACCAACACCAACAGTGTTGTATATAGTGTACCTGAGGCTCCTGGAACAGGTCATACTACTGAGAGACAAGCCAGGGGTAGATCCAGGAGGGGGGTCCTGGGGATCCGGACCCCCTCCCTTTTCATCAGAAAATTCCACTGCTTTTTCTTTAATGCAATATTGTAATCATGCATTTTTGTATAGTAAAAAGAAATTACTATTGACCTCAGAATATCTCCAAATATCAAGTGCACATGGCTTTAAAATGGCCTCAAAATATGCATGATATTGGTCAGATTTAAAACCCCCCAGCTGGGTGGGCTCGCTATGCTCACCATGTTCTCCCACCCACATTATCTTGGACCCTTTTGATATTCCTGGATCCGCCCCTGCAAGCAGAGGCTTACTTAGTGATGAATATGGGATGGCTAAATCGACTATATGTACGATTTTGAAGAATAAAGAAGAGTTAAAAACTGTGCAAGTGGCTAAGGGAATCTTTAGACTTAGCAAAGCAAAGTGTAATGTGATTGAAGAGATGGAAAATTTACTCTTAGTGTGGATAAAGGAGAAAGAAATGGCAGGTGGTAACATTAGTGAAGCTATAATTTGTGAGAAGGCCAGACAATTGTTTGAGGACCTTAAAGCCAAGACTCCCAGTGGAAGTGATAGTGATGTGCCAGTGTTTAGGGGTACCTGCATGCTGAATAACACTAAGGTAAGATAAAGTACCGTATTTTTTACATTTTCCACAGAATTTTTTAAGTGTTAAGTGGTTGTATTTGGGGTCCTGGAACGGATTAATCCTATAACGAACGAATGCTATAACGAATGAGGTTCTGGAACCAATTACGTTCGTTATAGCATACCCCACTGTATATATATGTATGTATGTATGTATGTATGTATGTATGTATATATATATATATATATATATATATATATATATATATATATATATATATATATATATATATATATATATATATATATATATATATATATATATATATATATATATATATATATATATATATATATATATATATATATATATATATATATATCAAGTAAATGGAAAAATTTTACTCGACACAGACATTAGTTCCAGTTACCGGTAAATAGCAGACGCTTCAGTGACGTCACTAGTGTTTACACTACACCAGCGGGTAACATTTGATGACATTACTTGAAGTGAATTGGCCTTATTTTAAAAAACCAAGGATGGTTGGTAAAGGACTACTGAGTCAGTGGGTAAGTGTCACATTTGGGGTACTGGCCTTATACAGCGAATAGAGCTCAAAAGCTACTTTTTAAATGGAAATTTTGGGGGGCCGTCTTATGCACCCCGACACCTTATAGGCCGAGATATACGGTAGTCATTTTAACATTTATTTAATATAATTGATAATATATGCAGTACAGGGAACTAGTTTTTGGTGCACCCATCAGCCACTTCACTCACCCACCAAGGCGTCTGTTTAACTCTCTGTACAGTGGAGGAAACATCTTGCTTGTAGGTCTCTTGAACACAGAGTATTTTTATGGTTTTACACTACAATTTTTGGTCATTCTGAAATTTATTTAACATATTGATAATATATAGTGCAGTGTTGATTTAAATAAAATATTCTTTAATTGCAGCTAGTGAACTTAAAATTTTAGTGGTGAAATTACTATACAGTAGTAAACCGTGTAAAGTGAACAACAGAACATATGGAATTAATTCCAATAGAGACTGGCCCGACCCCCAAACTCCACTTTTTCCGACACAATACCTATGTTGTAGTAAAAATAACATCTAAATTTTATGA